GGGAATATTTTCCCTACTCCTATTGCTACTAATATCCCCGAGACGGAATAATTATTTACAGCCGCAAAAGAAAACTCTTTGTCACGGCCTTTCACTTTGTGCTACCGCGCCATAGAGAAACCGCTCCGCGCGCAGGTAGCGCGTTACGAGCGTATCGTTAAAAAGGTTTTCGTGTCCGTGCCTCGTTCACTTTGCAATTCCTTCGATTATTCCTCCAAGGGGGACGGAGAGGAAGCTGTAACATCGTCTTATCGGTGGCTGGAAACGCGTGACACAGAGAAAAAAACGTGGAATTTTCGAAGATACGTCTTGAATAAATTTCCTCCACCTTATTACGTCTTCGTGTGAAAAAAAGGATTGCTCGAGTCGTGAGGCACAATCAGAGCACACAGGTGAATCTGTACAATTTCCCGGAGCAGGAGAGAAAAAAAAGTTGAAAGAAACCGAGAGAGGTGTGCGAGAGGTGTACAAAAGAGGAGCTGGAGCAGTAACGACGAGGTTGCCAAAAAGGCAGCTTCCGTGTTCTCAGGCCGAGGGTCGAAGAGAGTCCAAGTCCCTGGGAAGCGCGTGGAAGAAAGGGGCAATTTCTTGGACGCCTCGGCGAGGAGAGGAGATCCTACGGCGCGAGAAGGGAAGACAGAGGCGAAATCGTCCGTGGTCCAGGACCCGTGTAATTACGTCCTTTGGGCTGGCGCGATGACTCCAGGACAAAGTATACCCCCGGTTTGCCACTTTATAATCAACGAGCACGGCTCTTCCCCTTCCGCGATCCACGGTGTCCACTTAAACGCGTCCCGTAATCGCTCCTAATTACCCGGTCCACCAGGCTCGCCCTGTGTTTCACCTTCGAATGGGCGATTCGAAGCCTTTTGGTCACGCAATACGTACAACGTACCCTTTCAAACCAAACCACGTACCGATCACTCGCTCTTCGGCTTCGCTGTCCAAGTTTTACTCTTCTGCCTTCTTCTCCTTTTCTTTTTTTACTATCGGAGAATCGAAGATGGCTTTTAATTGCTTTCACCGGTACCACCGGACGATTTACCTCGATCGATAATTTGTACGCTCGACGGCCACTGTGATTCAAGTCCCATTCGGGCTCGCTTTGCAAGTGTCTTTAATTGGCTCGAATGGTTACTGCTTCTTCGCGGTTTGCATCGCAAGTGATGTTCCCTTTTAATGGGGACACTTAAATTCTCCTTCATTTTTTTTTTTTAGTAAAAAGTGAATTGAAATTCACTTCGTGTGTAATACAAAGTATAATATACTGTATACTCTGTCCAAGTTAAGAATAACCTCGCTCTCGGACCGATTCTCGTCCGTTCTGCGCATAGACAGAGAGCGTAGCAGAGGGTAAGACGGAGACAAACGTATGCCTGCCTTAGGAACGTCTCATGCGCGAAGCGAGGTTATTCTTAAATTGGACAGAGTGTAGATCTCTCGTGTACAACGGGTTAAATGCTGTCTATGGATGTATATATTCAGAGTTGGCTTGAATTTCAGCGGAACGATTAACCAAGAGCTATTTACGCCTCTGTTCTATCAATCTCATATGATTATTATTAAACACCTCCCACCGTGATCAAACTTATTTATACAATTCTCGATCCGCTGCCAAGTTATACGAACGTCGTCGCGTAAATAACCACATCCGTATGTTCCTCTTCGAGAGAGAGAGAGAGGAGGAGCGGTTTACACATCGACCCTTTTGTCAGAGGGAAACAAGGGTAACCGAGTTTCCCTCGGAATATGGGAAATTCTGTCGCTTTCACGCCGGTCAGACAACATTTCTCCATCCCTTTTCCAAAGCATACCTGCTCCTTCCGTAGGATGCGCAGAAATCCCAGGAAATTTTTATTTTACGGCACAACGGGGGAAGGTTCCTCGTTGCCTTTTCTGTCAACAACCTTCTTCTCCCCTTCTCGAGGCTAGCCTGGGAATTTCAATGATCGCCAAGTCCTCCTTCCCGCCATCAGGAGTTATTCGAATTTTTTCTCTCTCTACCTCCAAGGCAAATCTTCAACTTCGTTTCGATAGATCTTGCAAAATTCTCCGTGAACAAGGAACACGTCGATTCTAGTAAACTCGAAGTTTTCCTAACGTGTGCAATTTCCCCCGAATAAACAGCCAGATAAATTCTCGAGCAGACTCGATTGCACTTCTCAGGCTCGTTAAAAGCTTCATGGCGGGAATTAAAGCGGTTCTCGGGACAACATCGTGACAACAGATAACGACTCCCTCCCTCTCTCTCTCTCTCTCTCTCTCGACTGTTTCAAAGTCCATTTATAAGATTCATTAAAGTTTTGTAGGTCGTTACCATTAATCACAAAGCGGCGGGAAGCCTCTTGCGGCGGTGTGTACGCTATGGTATACACCGGGAAAATAACTTTCCGCTTACGGCCGTTCGTATCCACTGACCCCTTTTTGAAATATGAATTTTATATGCTAATGCCGGAACGCTTCTTCGCTCGCTTACAAACCCTAGGAATTTCAATCTTCCGACGAAAATTCCACGCAATTTCGCCCCTTGCCAACGTGCTTCACGAATAATAGAAAGAGCGTGTCGATCGAATTCCATCAGGATTTACGATCTATAAATTTCCACGAACGATGGAAGTTCCCCGGTTCGCCTGATAAATTCGATCGTTTCGCGAGAAACATTTCTTCCCAACGGTCTTCGTGTAATCTTCAGAGAAAAGACGTCGTTCCTGATTTCGTCCTTTCTGTTACAGTAATTTTCTTCCTATAAAATTCCGTCGGACAAGGGAGCTTTCTGTTTGGAAAATCATTTCTTTCTTGGCTCGTCTATTGTTCCTCAAGGGGTGAAGTGTCAAAAAATTGCAAGCTCTCGTTACAGCCCGGAGATTGTTTCTAGATCGTATCCGTGGGATATAGACACATAGAGCAGCCCTTTAAATCGTTGACTAACCTAACTCAATCTACGGCCTCTCCCTGCCACGGAGAGAGAGAGAGAGGCCATAGAAAGGAGACATTTAAATCTGGCTATCCCTGTGGGAACGTCCGGCGTCCACGTCCTGAGGGGTTGTCCTCCCAAGGGAAAAAACAATGAACTCGTTCTCTATTGGTCCAGGTTAACGTCGTGTTCCTCTGGTGTCGATGGGAGAAAAGGAAAGAGGGAGAGACTGGTGTATGGGACACCCTAAAAAGATCGTCCTGTTTCGTGAGACAGAGCTTTGATCCAATTTATGCGAATTCAGATTTCGATCTATTCATTTATTCAATCTTCGGGGAGTAACGTTCGAGAAAATTCAACGATTTTCTTTCGGTCGTTGATTAATTTTGTTTATCAGATTTTACTGGAGTAATGTGGTTAATTCTGAAGATTCAACTTTAGCAAGGATATCTCTCGGTTTTCGTTTGTAACATTTGTCAAAAGCTCGCGGTGTAGGTATATAATATCTGTTTCATCGTGGAAAAGAAAATACGATACATTGGTACAAATGCTATTTCCATAAATGGACGGAAATTCTGCTTTCCAACTACACAACGAACGCCAACATGTTGTTACATAATTCATAACGAGAACAGACTTCCTTATTCGATCCTCCTGCTTCTCATCCCACGAAAACTAACAGTTCCAAAACTTGTTTAATCTTCAACCGGGGCGGCGGTAGGTACTACATATTACGGGGAGCTTTTAATTCGACATTTTATAGGTTGATACGTATCTCGGTTCCCAGGAACCAGATAAAGCCTTCCTTTTTTTTTTTTTAACCCAACCTTTTCTCACAGCTTCTCCCTACCTTCGGACCACGACTTTCCATTAAAACTTTCTCAAAGAATATTCACCGATTCTTTCGTTATTGTCGCGACCACAAATTCACGGTGGTTGTAATTAATTGTACGTCTCAATTAATTGTAATTAGTCCCAAGTTTCCTCCCGTAAGTTTGAAGTTCGCGAGGTTCGAGAATGGTAATTTTTGAGAAATTGCTGTTGAAAACGAGATTCTAATTAATCCCGAGTTTCACCCTTAAATTTCAAGTTTGCGAAGTTTGAGAATGTCAATTTTTGAGAAATTACTATTAAAAATGAGGCGTTGTAATATCCTTACTGAAGTGAAAAAAATCACTCGCGAAAGAAAAGTTAGGAAAATATAATATGCAAAATTATGTGCAAAAAGTATTGATTTTGAAATAGCGAATTATGCCGAATATGTTAATTTTCAAGAAATCACTACTAAAACCTAAATACCAATTGATCCCAAATTTCCCTCTTAAACTTAAAATTCGCAAAGTTTCGCAATATTAATTTTCAAGAAATCACTACTAAATCCTAAATTCCAATTAATCCCAAATTTCCCTCTTAAACTTAAAATTCGCAAAGTTTCGCAATATTAATTTTCAAGAAATCACTACTAAAACCTAAATTCCAATTAATCCCAAATTTCCCTCTTAAACTTAAAATTCGCAAAGTTTCGCAATATTAATTTTCAAGAAATCACTACTAAAACCTAAATTCCAATTAATCCCAAATTTCCCCCTTAAACTTAAAATTCGCAAAGTTTCGCAATATTAATTTTTAAAATCGGATGCACAGTAATCTCCTTACTAAAATAAAAAAAAGTATCACTCTCAAGAAAAAAAGTTACCAAAATATAACGTGCAAAAAAATCGATTGTTAAATAGCGAATTAGGTAGAACAGCGTCGTCTATTGTTATCTCCAGCTCCCCCTTGAAATTCTGTTATTTAATTGAACAACCCCCGCGTGGACGATATTTGCGTCGTTCCCAGGAACAGGTAAGCCCAGGAACTGGCCCTACCTGACGTCTGTCCCCTCCACGATGGTTCTCATTGGGGTGTACGAGCCAGAGGGTCTCCTCTACATACACACACACACCACTACCACAACGATAACAGTGAAACGAGAGGAGAAAGAAGGCTCGTGCGAAATTCGATGATTCGCAGGAACGGATGATGGGGTGGGTAGCGACAGGTAGTTCCCATGGGAGGCTCATGGTACAGAATTCCCACAGGAACGAGAGCAAAACCGGGCCACCGAGTCGAGACTGATTCCGGTCGGCGATCCTCTTTGATTCTTTCGCGAGTATCTCGCTTTTATCGGCCACCAGTGGCCAGTTGAATCGAGTTCCACGGCTTTTCACGCATTCCGCTTCATTTATACGCCTCTCTTTTCATTCGGCCATGGATCTCGTTTCACCCCGGCTCGCAGAATTTGTTTGCCTGCCGGTGTTGCTTTTGCATAAGTGATTTAAGGGAGTGACTTCACTCTTTCGATCCCTCTTTTCAATTTCAACAGCGTTTCACACATTTTTTCCCTTCGATTAATTGCCGTACATAATGCAACCCTTTTCGAAGCATCTTTGTAATGGTAAACTTTATTTTTTTGATTCCCTCTTCTCCCTTTTGGAGTGATAAGATCGCTCCAGTATCAGTAACAAATTATACTTAAAATATTACAGCGTGCAACCCTCCAATTGTTAAAAAAAAATTGTAAGACTAGGCTAACTCGCTGATAACAACCAATGACAATGTATCTCCACTTCCACAAGCCCCACATTTTACCAAAAAAAAAAAGACTCACCCTCAAAATTAATCCGTTGAACCCTCGTAACGTGATCGTGACAGAAAACGAAAAAAAATCCATTGCTCCGTATGCGCAGATGCCGCGGAGAGGTTACTGACGTTGCTGGGCGTGGACGAGGACCACGAGGACCTGTTGTCCTCATCCGAAGACGAGGGAGTAGAGCTAGACGAGCTGGAGGACGAGGAGGAGGAAGAAGAAGACGAGACAGAGAACAACAGATTACTCCATCAGCTGGCCGCCTCTTTGGCCAAGGAGTTGAAGCAATCCCATCATCAGAAGCAGACCACGTCGACGAGGCTTTCTACCAGCAGAGATCATCAGATTGCCACGACGGAGACTGGTTACCTGGAACATAGTTGCCTTCAGGAGCAGAACATCAAAGGGACAAGCTGTTATCGCGACAGTCTCGGTGATAAACGTCACAGACAGGACACGTCACGCTCGTACGGGAAACAGGATGATATTTTCGAGTCGTACCAGCGTTTAGAGGGTCGGCTGTGGATGGATCAAGAGGCAGAGGTGGGAAACAGCCGCCGCGAGCAAGTTCCAGGGTCCTGGAACGCCGGGTGGGACGCCTGCGCCACGGAAGCCCTTAGATATCTCGTAGAGGACGAAGGTCTGCCGCCTCATCATCCCACGGTCCTCGCCATGAAGGACCATCTGGAGCTACAAAGGGAACGAACCTTCGCTCAGTACACCGCGTAAACCATGTCGATTTTTATCCACGGAGACGGTATTTTTTTAACGACGGCCCCCTTTTTGCCTCCGATCACCTACACGTTTCGATTCGGGCCGGAGGGTGTTTCCTGTGTCGGAGCTTGCTACGTCGAGGGGTGAATCAGAGAGCAGAGGAAGTGTTAGCGAAGACGGTCTAGTAGGATTTTAGGGTGAACTTTTATCGAGGAACAGGTTTCCAAGTGATTTTCGACACTTTGACAGACAGGTGGCGTTTATTGGTAGGTTTAAAGGGAATTTGGATATTCTGTTAATTCGAGTAAATTGGTGGTTCGATTTTTGAATATTCTGTTAATTCGAGTAAACGGTTCGATCTTTGGATATTTTATTAATTCGAGTAAATGGTTCGATATTTGGATATTTTATTAATTCGAGTAAATTGCTGGTTCGATTTTTGAATATTCTATTAATTCGAGTAAACGGTTCGATCTTTGGATATTTTATTAATTCGAGTAAATGGTTCAATCTTTGAATATTCTATTAATTCGAGTAAATGGATGGTTCAATCTTTGGATATTCTATTAATTCGAGTAAATGGATGGTTCCATCACTGAATATTCTATTAATTCGAGCAAATATTTCAATCTTTGGATATTCTATTAATTCGAGTATACGGTTCGATATTTGGATATTCTATTAATTCGAGTAAATGGTTCGATCTTTGGATATTTTATTAATTCGAGTAAATGGATGGTTCCATCGCTGAATATTCTATTAATTCGAGTAAACGGTTCGATCTTTGGATATTTTATTAATTCGAGTAAACGGTTCAATCTTTGGATATTCTATTAATTCGCGTAAACAATTCGATCTTTGGATATTTGGTGAATCAGAGAGCAGAGGAAGTGTTAGCGAAGACGGTCTAGTAGGATTTTAGGGTGAACTTTTATCGAGGAACAGGTTTCCAAGTGATTTTCGACACTTTGACAGACAGGTGGCGTTTATTGGTAGGTTTAAAGGGAATTTGGATATTCTGTTAATTCGAGTAAATTGGTGGTTCGATTTTTGAATATTCTGTTAATTCGAGTAAACGGTTCGATCTTTGGATATTTTATTAATTCGAGTAAATGGTTCAATCTTTGAATATTCTATTAATTCGAGTAAACGGTTCGATCTTTGGATATTTTATTAATTCGAGTAAATTGCTGGTTCGATTTTTGAATATTCTATTAATTCGAGTAAACGGTTCGATCTTTGGATATTTTATTAATTCGAGTAAATGGTTCAATTTTTGGATATTCTATTAATTCGAGTAAACAATTCGATCTTTGGATATTCTATTAATTCGAGTAAATGGATAGTTCAATCTTTGGATATTCTATTAATTCGAGTAAATGGATAGTTCGATCACTGAATATTCTATTAATTCGAGTAAATGGTTCAATCTTTGGATATTCTATTAATTCGAGTAAATGGATAGTTCAATCTTTGGATATTTTATTAATTCGAGTAAACGGTTCAATCTTTGGATATTCTATTAATTCGAGTAAACGGTTCGATCTTTGGATATTTTATTAATTCGAGTAAACGGTTCAATCTTTGGATATTCTATTAATTCGAGTAAACAATTCGATCTTTGGATATTCTATTAATTCGAGTAAATGGACAGTTCAATCTTTGGATATTCTATTAATTCGAGTAAATAGATGGTTCGATCACTGAATATTCTATTAATTCGAGTAAATGGTTCAATCTTTGGATATTCTATTAATTCGAGTAAATGGATAGTTCGATCACTGAATATTCTATTAATTCGAGTAAATGGATGATTCGATCTTGGAATATTCTGTTCATTCGAGTAAATGGTTCGATCTCCGAATATTCTCTTAATTCGAGTAAACAGTTCGACTGTTCCAAGTCTCCTTAAGGTGCGACGAGCACGACTTCCTTCCCAATGAAAAATTTCAAACCGCCTGTCAATGTGTTCTCAACCAAATAAGGAGTAATTTTCGTGGTTCTTACAACGAGAATTTCCACCAGAGTGTTAAAAGAAGAGACTCGCGAGAAAATCCTCGAAATCCTCCTCCACATCGAAGACATTATGAATTCGAATGAATGGCTCTGCTCCAAGCCCCTGTCCCACATTCACTTTTCAATCATCTCGACTGAAGCTCCGCGATCGTCCAACAATCCCGTGACGATCTTGCGCAAGCAAGCACAAGTTCCTCTCGCGTTAAAGAGGAGAGAATCTCTTTCTCCATTCAGATTAAGATGCATTCACCGTGTGTTTGTTAAAGCGAACGACGCGCTTTCACGAGAGAAGAGAAGAGCACCCGTTCGCGAAGCGGATTAGAACTTCTCCGTTGATTTTTTCCGGAGTATGTGGCTGTGGCTTCGTTCCGGGCAACTTTTCACCGCGAGTTTTCGCGCGGTTCCACGCAAGGATCCTCGCACACGCTTCGACGGGAGTGAATAATCGGCCCTTTGATCGTTTCTTTCAGACAAGTGTTGGAGGTATCGAACGATTCAATCGTGATTCGATACTTCCATTACTATCGCTAGAAAAACAATGATTTCTATCGAACGAAACTATTCTTAGGGGAAGTGTCACGATAGGAAAATGTTTCATTTCTTCGGAAAAATCGAGGAATAAATTAACGAAGAATATTCTAAATACGAGATATTCAGAGGGTCGAGAATTCACCGTCGACGAAGTGAAGATTCCATTACTTTTACTAGGCTCTGTCACCGAAAATTTCCATTCTTTGGCTAAGAAACGAATAAGAAAAGAAGATCGCGAGATCTATAGATCCACGATTGTTCAGGTTCCTACAATGATACAAGAGCTGCCGTGGCAGAAGGAGGACGAACTTAACATCCAATGGCGTTCAACCACCAAAATTAATTTCTTAACTCTTTCCTGAAACGAGCCGCCCTTCTTTTTTTTTTATACCACAACTTTTTTGTACTCGTTTGTCCATGTATCGTCGTTAGTATAGCTCTTACTAGCATTATCGTTTTTCCCCCTTCCTTTTTCTTTCTCCCTCTTTCCTCTTCCTTTAGATTACTCATTATTTATTGTACGATTAATCGCGTTGTTAGGCTAAGAGGAAATTCTCGCACGCTTTCGATTCCATTGGACGTTAGATTCGCTCCGTGGGAAACGAGTGTCAATATAACGATGTCAATACGATATTACGAAAGGGTTCATACGCTGGATCGATATGAACCGTGAACGAGTTTTCTCGGATCAGTGTCAAAAAAAAAAGAGTAAATAAATAAATAAACGAAGTGTTCTGCGAAGCCTGCAGATTTTTACCGTGCGACGTTCCCCTCGCTCTTCGACCCTTCGCAAGAGGGAAATTAATCGTTAACGGAGCGAACGAGAATTAACGCGAAATTTCGCACGAATACTCCGTCGTTAATTTATTTCAGAGTAACGAGAGGGTTGAAATGGCGGGGAGAAGACGCACGTTGCACCAGAAAAGTGTGCACGATTCGCAACATACGTTGAAACCTAAAATACTCCTAGGACGAACTTGTAGACTATTTTATCGTAAGTGCGTGAGAATTTGGATATCAGAGAGACTGAGATTGTTCGAGCGTTGCATTCCATTTCGTTTCATTGCCGTTACCAAGTGCCTCCGTTTTCAATCGAACTTCGAAAGATCTTCCATCCCTGTTCTAAAACCATTCAACTATCTTGAAACAGAGAGAGAAACCTACTTCAGAAAATACAAGAACGCGGTGCAACGTTCGAAGAATTGGTGAAACGGGGAAAATTGTATACGAGAACATTTTTGGATCCAGTGTCGTCGACGAAGCGACGGGGAAGAAAGAAAAGACAAAGAAGTATTACAAACGAATCGTGATTAGATAAGTAATTCTAGATCCTTAAAACGGCGAGTACCTAATCCTGGTATACGATGGAACAAGCGTTCAACGTCGACATTGGATATATCGAACAGGGAGCCTAACGATTCTAGATCGACGCTCGATCCTTTGATCGTGAATCGTTGGCAAACCCAGTAAAAAAAAAAGAAATCAATCAAAGAGAATTTTTCTGTCGCGATCGTCGATCCTCGTGAATCACACGACGTTCACCTACCCTCTTCTCTACACGTTCAAAATCAATTCTTGAGAGAATTCGGCGGACGTCGTGTTCACGACAGTCGACACAGGATCAAGCAGCCATCTTTGTAAATATGTATGATATATCGTTTTAACTTATACACACGACTATTGTTACTTTTACAATAAATCATTGTAGATAACATTGACCAGTAAATAAACGAGCGCTAAGTTAATTAAAACACAACGAGAAAATTGATTGTCCCGATAGAAAAAAGAAAGAAATTCCTTGGATGTTCCACGAGAAGAAGAAGAAGAAAGATGATTTCTTTCCAGGTTATTTGTCGCTTCAGCTGTTCCCGTCGAAGAATGCGACACTCCAGGTTGACCGTGACGGAAGAAGTCTATCGAGAGGAGAATCTGTGGGAGAGAATCGAGGATCCTCTACGTGAACCCGCAGGAAGCTATCTGGCACGCGACCAGGTTGAAAAGGATCCCATGGGCTTTATCGTGGCCCGGCTGCCATGGGATCTCTACGCCAATGGGGCATCTGGTGTCGGTTCGTAGCACATGCCATGCATCTGCTCCGTCGAGGTACTTTTGTTGTCTTCGACGTTCGTCCGGCGAAAATAAGTCGAGGCTGCTGTTACCAAGGGAATCTATGCGCCTTCGTGCCGCCACTGGATCATCCGCGACGTTGTCCTGCCTAACGATCTAGCTCGATCGAGGGTAATTAGCGATCGTGGAACTTTGTCGGCTCGTTCCGATCCTTGCGCGATTCTAATCGAACCTCAACGTGGATTTTTACGTCGATGAGATTGCCGGAGTGTATTTTTGCTTTTTAATTCGAGTTCCGAATCACGAACTTTCGAATTGGAAAAATGGCGATAATTTTCATTTCTGTCAACTTTGACGTAACTTTCGTGTAATTCCATCGATGATTTTGTCTCGAGGTAGAAAGCTCAACTTCAACGTGGATTTTTACATTGATAAGATTGTCGGAGTGCCTTAATCTCTTTAATTGGAATTTCGAATCGAGAAGTTTAGAGCGGGAACAATTTTCACGTAATTCCTTCGATGATTTTGTTTCGAGGTAGAAGAAGAAGTAAAATTCTTTAGTTATTGCTGCAAAAGCACGACATCGTTTCGAAAAAGAAACGTAACGTTTAGTAGGAATTTCGAAATGAAA